ATATATATATATATATATATATATATATATATATATATATATATATATATATATATATATATATATATATATATATATATATATATATATATATATATATATATATATATATATATATTAATATATATTAATTGTGTAATTGTACACTCTGTAATATGTTAAGATGAAAATGTTCTAGAGTGTGTATTATATAATTTCCATACCCAGCGCAAGCAGAAAGATGATGTCTGCCGCTGGGTATGGAAATTATATAATATATAATACACACTCTAGAACATTTTCATCTTAATATATATATATATATATATATCGTTATTGTCAATAGGAAAAACAGGAAGGTTACTTTTATCAAAAGCCAGAAGTTGACCAAGGACAAAGAGGGAAGAATAATAAAAAAACGAAAGGCAAGAATAAGTAAGTATTTGGGGCGGTTTATCATAATTATTGAATATCATCAAACATCATACAAGATTCAAGCATTAACACTTCAAGTACCTAAATTGAGTAAGGTTTCTACACTTGCTTGAGAAATAGAAAACGTCTGGTATTAATAACGTCTAAGATGTTTAATTTGTCTGGAATACCAAATATGAGATGATTAAAATTTACTCTGTAGATGGTTGTCAAATCGAAATATTCAAATTTTGTGTGGTTTCATTCTTAGTGCTACGTTTAACTGTTCATTTATAGCTCGTATTTATAGCTCTTAACACAAGGTTGAATGGGTCCAAGTTTAGTTCCTTGAGGGACAGGTACAGCATTAATTAACAAAACCACATTTGGAAAAGAATTATCAATCTTTACCCATTATCGGCAGATTGGAAGAAAGTTGCAGACGCATGGGATAATTGATCTTCTGACAGCAAGTAACAACAGTTTTAGAACCAGAATGTTGTGATCAGTGAGATAAGGGCTCTACTAAAGTCGAAAAAACAGGTCCTTAGATAATGCAATTGAGTGTCTAACGTCCTTAAATAATTGTTAATCATATCAATAAGGCACAACATTGGAGTGCTTTCTTTTAAACAGCCAAATTGTTGTGGAACATTTTAGTGTTTTATATCGCCACTATCCACTCAACCACAATATCGTCGAGAATTTAGGTAAGGGAGGTCGTAAGTGAGAATGAACGGAGTTCATCCAGGACACATATAGTATTGTAGGAACTGGTGTAATAATAACCACATCTTTCCAAATATTAGGATGGGTGAAAAATGTAATTTCTCCTTTACACTTGCAATTTTTGCTGCGATTTTAAGCGGGATTTTCTTCTTTTCATGGATGGGAACGAGAGGATGAGTTATATGTTGAGATTTTTATTTTATGTACTATTTATAAAGCCAGGATAAAACATTTCAGTAAAATGATACTGCTATAATTTATTACTGCTTGTCCTGGTTAAAAGACAAATTCAAAAATCAATTTTAAAATCTCGAATTGAAGAAATGTTTAAAAATGTTGGTGTGATATTCACTTAGTTCACCTTTTAACTATTAATAATTTTCTGAATTAACTGAACTAATTTTCTTAATAATATTTTCGCCTCGGCGGCTTGTGAGCCACTTTTTGTTCTTCCCACATTATGATGTCATACCGTAGTGTATCTATAACTGAACAGGCAATGGGAAAATCTTATCTATAGGCCGGTTTAAACGACCAGTGTTTTGGGCACGGCACCCCTAAAAATGGGCACCCGTGCCCAAAATTGTAGGCTCGGCACCTCTGCCTTTTGGCGTGTAAACGTGACAAAAATCGGCACCGGTGCCGCAAAATTTAAACGTGCCGAGACTTTCTCACGAGGTAGTCTCGGCACGTCTAGCAAGGGGTGCCGTGCCCAAATTTCGAAAAAAAATAAGAAATGTGTTCGACATCGAGCATGCGCAAAACAAATTGTCCTCTTTCCAACATGGCAGCAAGCGGCGAAAAACTACAACTTGCCAAAAATTTTTAAAAAAAAGTTAAAAAACAAATTTAACATAGAATGTGAATGTTGCTCTAGTTGACTCGGAAATTTTGAAACCACTGTTCGTCGCTGAATAGAGCAGTAACTAGGTCGTAGCAAATAGCTGTCGTTCGATGCGTCCATACCTCTCGAATTCGTGGCGGGTGAATACAAGATGGCACAACATTTATGCGTGAAAACAACTCCTTTCGTCTTTAAGGGCCTGTTCATATGGGCAAAGGTTATCC